TATTTTTTCTTTGATTGATTAACGTTGTCGCTTTATATACGTGTCAGATCACGCATTTACACAATAATATAATAAGATTAAAATAAATTATAGACATATATAAAATCATGAAATAAAGAAGGAAGTATAAAAAAATTATCTAAAAAAAGAGCCAGATAAAAAAAAATATATATTGCGGAAATGTAAGAGCTAGTAGGATAGTTACCATATTTTATTGCACGACATTTTAATATTAAACATAACTTATTAAAAGTCTGTAAGAGTTTATATTGAACGCGCAAGAACGTGACAGATTCATCAAGTGGGGCGCGGTAAAGATTCAGAGCGCGTAAAAAATGTTTATTACATGAATACACAACGTGTTTACATTTGAATGTTTATTGTATCCGCAACTACTGTGCCGTCATAAAAATCGCGTCTGCGTTAACAATAAAATTGCTACGATACCCGTTCACCACACAACGTGCTCGACTTCGTTCGAGCGGCAGTAATTTTGCGATATCCGATCCTTTCTCGCGCGAATATGGTGGTTTTTCATCGTGAAAATTTTATGTCCCGTTGTTAAAAGATAAACAGGATAAGTGTACTGATATCGATAAGATGATGCTCGACAAAAACCTTCGACGATCCTACCTCGATAATGGAAAATATAATACGGGGACGTGATTGCGCTTAAAACAATTATTTTCTCAATAACAAGTAAATTATCGTCACAAACGTGTCTTGCCATTTATTCAGACGTCACTGTAATTCCGCGAGGGGATAAAAAAACGTTCCCAGGACATTTATGATGCTATATGCGCGGTTATTAACTTTGCTCCCTACGTAACAACGCACGTCATATCGCGTGAACTGTATCACTGTATGCCATCATTTTTAAAAGGTTCATAAAACAGTTTAAAGGAAATCTTTTCTATAAAGAAAAAAAAAAAATACGCGGCAATATCGAAAATTCTAAAGTCTCCAAATTAATGGGTTTTACTTGATGTTGCGCACTCCTTATCATATTATCGGACTGAATAATTCTAAATAATGAATCTTTTTATCTCGATGAAAAATAAATTTATCTAACGATCTTCACTACTGACCTGCCCACCAAGCGGATCGTAAAGACGTTGAATGAGTTGGAGACAGGTGGATTTGCCGCATCCAGATCCGCCGACGAGCGCCACCGTCTCGCCGCGATTGATCTTCAGATTCAGCCCCCGTAATACTTGAACGTCCTTACGCGCCGGATAACGGAACACGATGTTCCTGAATTCGATATCACCGTTGACAGACTCGAGTCGTCGGCCCTCCTTGCTCAGACTATCTATCGTCGGCACGCGATCGAGAACTTGGAAGATCGCGGCCGCGGATCCTCTCGCCACCGCGAACGCCTCGAGATGCGGCGAAGTCAGGCCCATGTTTTGCGCCCCGGAAAGTACGCCGAAGAACACGATCACTAATACCGCCGGCGTGTATTCCTTCACCTCCTTCGGGCGATCGTCCAAGATTAATTGCACGCCGTACCTACAGCAGAAAAGACCCTATTTTTTGCTGGAACGCGACACGTCCTCTAAAGCTAACACCTTTTTATCACACTGTGTAAACAGAAACCGAGCGGTACTCTCAAACGTAAGTGCCCAATTATCCATCTCGTGGTTTTTGTACTTGAAAGAAAAGTTACTTTGCTCGTATTATTAAATAAGATAAAATACAAATAGTATAAATACAATACAAAGTAATATATTTACGTTAGCAATAATAATATTAAAATAATTAATTTCCGCGCGTTTTTATTATAGTTCATTGCATGAAAACAATCGAATTGTATTTTATCACAGTGTGACAACTAGATTTTCAATTATTACACGCATGACATTTGCTGATTTTATTAAAAAAATTTAATTTTTAAGAAGTAATTATATGAAGCATAATAATAACAGAGTAATGAATCTTTGCATTTCTAATTTATATCTTATTGCGTGAAAATAATATTTTATTAAAACATCACTAGAGAAGATTTTTCATTATGATACGTAGGATACTTAAATTTAAATTTTACAAAATGCAAAGTACAAACGTGTGGGAATGATAAATATTACCGCGTATCCTTCTGTCAAAATAATGCGTATCTCACCAGAATGCCAACGCGTAGCTGAGGTATATGATGAGCCACATAACTCCGCCGCCGATTCCGGACCACATGCTCCTTTTAATGCCAGTTCTCTCCGCGGGTACCAGTTTCTCCGAGTATCTCTCTATCTCTTTTTTTTCGCCATTGAACGCCACGACGGTCCTTATGGAGGCGAGAACTTCTTCGGCCACGCTACCGGCTTGACCGTAGGCCGCCAGTTCCAAGGCCGACAGAGAACTTTGCACCTTGGCGACTACAGCGGTAGCGATTATTATGATCGGTGCGCAGCTCAGTACGACCAGGGTTAATTTCCAACCGTACACGAATGAGATGATGATGGAAGAAACGAACGAGGTCGTCAAATACGTGAAAATGCCGAGCTTCTCCCCTATTCCCTCCTTCATCTTGTCTAAATCCCTGTAAAGAAGACGGATAATATTACCTCGCATATATTCATTAACGCGATAATTAACAGAGATTATAAATACTCTGATACTTCGCGTAATCTCATTTTATCTCAAACATAATTCATAGCAGACCACCAATGACTTAGTTTTAAAGTAACATATACTTGAAGCTCGGACTATTTTTAATGAGATTTTTTGAGAAAGAATGAGATTAATTATCAGCGTTTGTCGTTATCGGCATTATCGCTATCTTATATTTTTGCTATTCATCTGTTGCAAGATTGAAAATCTTTAACTTTATTAACGATCGATTGATGCTCATTACCAATTATTGGAAATAGTAAAAGGATTTCTACATGTTATGAAATATACTGCGCGAGATATTGCTGTATCATGCTGACTGTGCTCGATTTGCAGATGACGATATATCGCGGCACAATAACTTAATCTCTTTTATTAATTCCTCCTTATCTTTATAGCCTGACATAGGAAAACGCGAAAGAATTATGTCGGATTAACGAGAGATCGATTGTCCTGAAATAAAAATTTACTTCCATCAAATAACATCCTCGCGATTCACGCGACTAATAACTTTTAATACGAGTACCTTGTCCAATTACTATACTGATGTAATGCGAGCAAAAGCAGAGGCAGTGTGGGAGCAGGCATTTCGAGTTTCGCAAACGCCCACCTGTTGATGAACACGCCGATTCTCGCCTTCTGAACTTTACTGTCCGCTTCCTCGACGTTTACATCGACTGTCTCAAAAATCGAAGGTATAACGCTCCCCTTTGAGGGCGCATCGGTGCGTGAAGATACAAAATATTATCCGCGTTGAAATTATTCCGCGGAAGCAAGAGAGAGAGAGTGAGAGAGAGAGAGAGAGAGAAAGTATATCATCAAAGTTGTTAACCTCCATGAAATCCCCATATGAAATTGATAGTAGTATCTTTGAAATAATCGAAATGTCGAAATGACGAATGAAAAGTTTTATGTGATTTCCGTACTTCTTTTTTTTATAAATAAACGAACGAAGGCATTAATTTTATATCTGAATATTTCGCAGACTTTCATAAACGTTGATTAATATCTGTCGGCGGGAGGCATTAAAATTGCTTATCACGGCGAATTTTCGATCGAGGCCAATTTAGTCGAATTATCTCGTTATCTCGCATCTGAAATCGAGAGCTCCTATCTGCGACGCATCTACATAATGATAAAGGGAAGAAAACTCACTCGGTAATCCTGCTGGCGAAGTTGGTCGACGTATTCGTGTCGTACCATGACATATCCTGTCTAAGAACGGCTTTCAAGAACATCTTGCGCACCTTGGAGATCTGTCTCGAGGCGGCGATATTGAGCAAATCGACCATCAGTATGCCAAGGACGAATTGAATCGCCGCTAACGCCGCGCAAGACACGCCGTAAGCAATCGAATCGTCATACAAAGCATCCATCTTCTCTTCGTGACTTGCATTAACTGGTCTGAAATGACGAACGAAATCTATCTTAAGTACTTTGCAATATAATGCATATATCTTTTTTTTTTCAAAAAATGTACTTGGTCCAGAATGACTGAATATTATTTACAAAATTTTAATGACTGAATGTTACTTACAAAATTCTCCCACCTCCGAACCATGGCATCATGATGGTTGGTGAGGTCACGTGATCCTCCGTATTTCGATCCACTAATAGCGTACTGAATTCGCCATATTGAATCGTAGCGACTGGGACACACAGTCCTACTAAGCAGCCCAGTATTAATCCTAAGACGATCAGCGTCAACTCGCCGCATGTTGCAAATCGAAACTGATAAGTTTGAAATAATTATAAAATGATTAATTTAGCCTCGTAAATATATAATTATTGTACTTTATAATTTACAAATAGCACAACTATCTTATTTACATGGAAATTATTAAAATATTAGAGAGCAGAAATATAAAAAAAGAATATAATGTATTATATTATATTAAAATAAGAAAAATGTTCGAAAATTATACAAGCACGTTTTTGAATGATTCAGCACGGCGAGTTTGCTCGTACTTGAATGATTCAGCAGCGCGAATTTGCGGCTTCCGAAAGATTTAACTTGCAAGATTAATATACCTGACTAACAATGTAATTAACGAACGACCAACTACTCTTATCAAGAACGATCATAATTAACCGAAAAACGTATTTAAATTTGCAACGTTGTAAAAAATTTCGTTCAGGCTAAATTTTTAAATGCAAAAGAATTCACGGTCTATTAAGATATAATGTAAAAAATTTTATAATATATCTTTCTTTCGTGATGAGCCATCAACTGTCATTTATCATACAGAAGATATCACTCTTAACGATTTCGCTGGTGAATCATTCTAGAATGTTCGTTTAAAGCGCGGCTTTAAAATAGAAATGTATAGGATATGCTAATTTTTCCTGTTCGCTTTACCCACTTCATTAGAATTAACTTTTTCCTTAGAAAAAACATTGCAATATTCTTAACATTCTTTAAAAAAAAAATTCAGGCAAGCGACTCTATATTTTCGACGAAGAATCTATAAACAAAAAGAAGAATGTACATAAGGTTGTAATATTTTCAATTTCTCAAATGTACCGGCTTTCACCGCGAGAATATTGCGTTTGCGAGATCTATCCGAGGATCTCTCATGCGTTATGTCATAAATTATTCGCAAGAAAAACTCACGAGTTTATAGTAAGGCACGGGTGGTAGCGATGACTTCTGTGAGGCTGACTTATCCTTCTCCTTCGTTTGCGGTGACACGAATTCCCTGCGAACACAAGATTCAGGTCGATTGTTAATCGAGATTTTTGCGATTAAGGTTCAAGCAATTTTCTATGGTTGTCTACAGACGAAGTAATAAGATCGAATTTACATAAAGACGTAAAAATGTATTTTAAAAATCTACGTCGGTGTGTCGGGCATTTGCAAGATTACGAATCACCGTACTAGAGAATACTCTTTACGAAATCACGTACGATTACGGAAAGAATAGAAGCGTTAAACAAACGGCGCGGTTACTTTTACAGAGTGATAAAAGGGACGAAGTTTCGATACCGAAAGCATCTTCGTAAAAGCATACATTTGTCTTATATACGAAACCATATATAATCTGTAAAAGTTTTATGCGAGTCTTCTCTAGCTGTATTAAGACATTAATAAGCCAGCGAGCAACAATCCATTATCCAGCCTCTCGTATTTATTTCTAGATATATATACGTCACAATCTGTAACAAGCTCATTCGTACATTGCTTTGCCATTTTCCTGTAGCATATATTCGGCTTCGTATTTATCCCTCTCCTTGTCTCGTTGTGTGTCTGAAATGAAATATACAACATACCATACACGTACATAAAATTCTGACATCATTAAATGCAAAGCGTGCTGAAAATAATTTGTCACCGTCATTTACTGTATTTAATCTTGAGATAAAATGGCAATAAAAAGCGATTAAAATGTATCTACGAAACATCTTTATACATTTTATTGGAAGATTATCATACTTTCCACCAAGAAGTGATAAAGCTATTATCACATATATTTTGTAATCGCATATGAGATTGTTATCAATGTGATAGTAGATACCAGTGCTTTTTTGAGAAAATCATCTCATTCGATAAATGGTCTAAAAAGGCTGCCTCGGTTAAAAATCGTAAATCGAATGGAGGAACGTTCGTAAATCGGCAATCTAAAGATCGACGAGAATGCAGGGAGCTTTTGGGTAACTCGGTGAGAGATCGCAAAAAACTAACCAGGATCTGCGAGAAGTTTCGACGTCGTCGCAAAGCCCAGGAACCCGAAGAGCAGTCCTGGATGAGAGACTTTGGCAAAAGTCGACCGGCATCTCTCCGTAGGGGCTCCATTAGCGACGTAATTGCTGTTAGAAACTCCCCCGACAAATCTACGATCGGCGCAGAATATAGGAAGCTTTGCCACCTGAAGTAATAACAGTGCCGTAGCCACGCATGCTCGAAGGCGATAAGTAATCACCGTAAATTTTCGCGCAAAATTCATCAAAGACGATCTTACGGTTTATCGAATAGAGAATTGTGAAAAGTAATGGGACGCCTTATGGGAATAATCAGAAGCAAATCAGTAGCATAATATCACTTTAGTAAACATGATCAGATATATGATTATTATTTTGTTTCTTTTTTTTTCTTTCTTTTTTTTAAAGAAATATGTATATTTTAAAAATATTTTATCGGGTTTCTTCCGCGGACTAATAAATGATAAAATATTTATATTAAATATTCATATTAAAACAAAATACATTGTCTTTTAATTATGATTGTAATTCGAAAATTCACGTACGGCACTGGTAACCCCTATATACTTTGCAGGACCTGTGTAACCACCGATCCGCCTCTCAAGAAAACTTTCTTAGTCGCAGCTCTCGTGGAAGTAACTAAAACGAGTAGCAGTCTTTGCTCGAAATTTCAAGTGAGACATTTAGTACCTCTTAATACATTCTCGTCACAAGTTGTAAGTTAATTGAATAATTCGTTGCCGACTTTTATAACTTAAATGAAATTCATTGAACTTGTGCTCATTATTAATTTCGTCGCTTAAAAGTAGCTGATAAAATAGTTGTTATCAATGCAAACTTCTTCTACGATGCTATTATCCTAAAAGGATTCTTTATTTATACCCTGTCGCGAAGAAAGATGCAATATACGAAAGAATAAATTTAATAACACTTTATTAGATTATTCTCGATATGATCATAATGGAAAGTATAATAATCTAGTACATACTATAATGTATATATTTTATACGCGCGTGCGATTCTTTACTTTATATAGTAGTAATTTGGAATTTTTTTATAACTTATCGAAACAATTTGTTTCTCTTTTATCAACCAACAATCATTCATTGCCGATTCACATGCTCGCAATCTGATACATATTCCTATGAAGGTATGATTCGCGTTGATTACATACAATAGTATTGCGCGTGATTGTTATAATCACTTTGCGGTTACATATATGTATACGTGATGATAACTAAATCGTTCTGCACCGATGCTGATCGATAATTAATCGTTTAAATTGAAGAAAACGAAATCATATATACGAGCTCGTGCAAACATTAAATAAAGCCAGCGACACATAGCATCAACAAGCCATTAAATCATTCGAATCAATCAAGTTATTCGAGCTTGATTAAATCGTACATCGCGAACCAGGTAACATTTCGTCAAATTTCGAATTAATTTAAAAAATTGCTGTGTTTACAAATCCAATTGTATAATCTATTGTATTTCAATTTCCCCTCCCCTCACGTCGAATAACTCGATAAAATTCTCTAGAAAGCTAATTTTTGAACAAGCAAACGCAATCATTCTAACGATATCAATACTTACACCTCGAGAGGATCTTTTCCCGGTGGGGGGAGTGATTTGATTTGAACGTTTCCATTTGGATATCCAGTGAGCCTTCGCGAGGGCTTGCGGACAACGGATAAATTCGCTGCGTCATCGTGCATTCTCAATTAAAGACTCTGCAATCATATAAAAAATTATGTCATTTTACAGTAATTGTGGACACTTGTAATTTAATGAAGTAAAAATCGAAAAAAAAAACGTTTGATTAATTTTTAAATTATTTAATTTTTTGCATTTTTATTTTGTCGCATCTCGCGTCACCCTCAGCGCTTTATCTTGTATCATGTAAATTTCACAAAGCACCGAGGCAAGAGGTAAAGGGCAATGATTCTTGTCATTGAGATATCGGACTCGGAAATGAGCAATTCGCTCGAATCGAACGCGTTTCACGCAGTTAGTCATGTTGCGACGCAAATAACGCCCCTATTTACTCTCACCATTATCTACTATATCATATGTTTGCGCATCGAAATATCCAATCTAAACAATGATTAGACATCGCGGTAGCCGCGTTAATTAATCGATCGGCCGCTACAAGCTACATTAATATCAACAGCAACAGCGAGTTTATTCTAGTCTATTAACGGGAGATGTCTTGTTCACCTCGTTCGTTTCGCGCGTGCCCCTAAAGGGAAACGTCGATTCGCTTTCCCGATACATTAAATAAAACGAAACTTTATCCAGCCCGTCGCGACGGATCGACGACTTTCCCGATATGCAAATGCGATATCGGGTACTTTGACGTTAAGAGGTTGAAGCGATCGGCGGCTGCGGCGAAAGGGGATTGGTCAGGAACGATGTTAAAACTCGCCCGGTCGATGCTTTTAAGAACGCGCGATGAAAAGCGCGAACGAACAAGACTTCGTTAGGCCAGTGAAAAAAGTACTGACGAGGGGCGTTTCACATAGCCATCCGATCCAACCGGCGGTGGATACTGCGTGTTTGATTACGAAAAGCGTACGAGTGTACGAATGTGCGATTGCAGGCTTTTCTAGTGCGCGATAAGTTCTTTGAAATTATACAAATTTCTACTATTTTTTTGCATCTTCAAATATAGAAAAATTATTCAGATTCTGCTCTCGATAGACTGCTCTGTATAATTCTGATATTTATTTTGCTGGTTATATCGTAGAGGGAGAAAGAGACAGAGTAGAACTTTGTTATCTTTGCTGTTCAAAATTAGAACAACATAAGGGCCCGTGTAATTATTCACGCTCTTTGAACGATGTAACTTCCGTTATCGTAACTACTTATATCCATTTTTAATTAATCTTTTTACCACTTTGCCAAATATCATAATCATAAATTAAATCGTATCGTATCGAATCGATAAAATTTGAAGCTCCGCATCTTATTCGTATTAGATGCAATACTCGTCATTAGAACTTCATTAGTATCATATCGTTATTGATTGCAGTCGCTCCAGTTTCATAACATGGATCATGATGGAACATAAATGAGAATTATCGAACGTTGTTTGAAAATTAATTGCTAAATTTGCCGCGGCTAAAAAGGAGCTTTGCCTCGATTTTCTTGACCGCTGAATCCTCTCTTGTCTCGTTCCGATATCGAAACGTTAAAGGTATTTAAACGCTCGCGAAAGAGTAACACAGTTTCAGATTATTCTGTTTCACGACAGGATTTTCCGATTTCATTTGTCTTCCAGTATTCAATAAATTGTCTACGCTCGCCTTCGAACAAGCAGAGTCTCTTTTTTCCGTCGTTGAATCTGACACGAAGGAGTTTATAAAATTTTCCCCTTGTCCCGGTTGATCTAACACGACCGACCTATTGGCTTCGACAAATAAATTGTCTCTGTCGTGCAATCCGCCCTCCTTTCACTCCCTCCGTTGCTCCAAAATCATTGTAACCCCTTCGGAAATCTTGAAGTATCGCGTAAAATCAATAGCGAGTATCTTACGATTCTTGTTCATGTGCAAGATACACATTCATAGATATATTTCTCTCTCTCTCTCTCTCTTTTTCCTCGAATCAAAATAAAATAATAGAATTCTATCAAACGGCAAAATAAAAAGATGTCGATAACTGCAAGTTGCAGTTGACTTGTGCTAATCCTTCACGAATGTGGCTTTAAAATTATCCGCGCGATTTCAATCCTTTCGGGTTCCTTTCAGGGCTCGTAAATCATCGATACGATCGAGCCGGAAGTCGGACGGAAATAGCTGTCACCGAGATAACGAGACGCATTTAGCGCATTTCATCGCGGTCCGCGATACAGCGTGCACAATACAGCCCATTAATGACATAAAGGATATTGTCGAGGAGAAGAATGGACCGCGGGTATTCTCGGAATAAAGAAGTTTGCGCGCGCGAGAGCTGCTAAGAACGCTTTCATAACGTCGCTTGACTTTCCCAATATACGCGTAACGTCGTTAGGACGTCGGAATCACAAAGTAGAGCGGAGTCCAACAAACACGGGGACGCGCGCAATCTGCTTTCATCGAGCTTTCTCGAGCTTTTGCGCGCTCGCGCGTGGGCGCGGTCTGTCGCGTCGTTGAAAAATCGCTGCTAATTGAAAAAATTGCCAAAGTTGCGAAAACTTTCGGAACGGTAGTCGTCGCCTCCGGGCGGTGCCCATCTTTCGCGCTCGCGAAACTCTATTAAGCTCGGAAACTAATTTCCCAACCGACCTCCAGCGGGGCGCGGCCGTCTCGTAATCCTCAGTGGTCTGCGGCTCTCGAGACACGTGTCCGGGGAATCGGCGATTTATTATTTTACAGTTCTCTCGCCCCGAAGATGATCTCTGTATTAATTTTTGTTACGAAAATTCTCTCTTCGAAGAATGCAAAACGGTGATAATTGATCTTGTGAACACGAGAAAAGGCCGTACAAGATTAATATTTAGTTAAATTATTATTACGATGAAATATTTATCATATATTTTTATATATATTTTCTTATATATT